TTTATCACCAACCTGGGCCCAGTTAAGTCACCAATTTAGGGTTCATTATAATAGAGTAATTTTTCACTAAAAGATTTAAATCAGTCTAGAAAGATTAAAAAAAAAAAAATGATCAAATTATTTCACACATTGTAATGACTATTTTTGTTATTTGTACACACAATTAAAATTTTTTCCGTGGTTGATGAAAGTGGTAAAAATTACAAAAATATCAATTATCTTGAAAAACTTCAATTAAACCTAAATATTTCACTTACAGCTTTAGGACATTGCTGGTTTTTCAGGAAGTGGCTACAGTACTTTGTTGTCCCTAGTGACACTTTCAATGTTCTACCATCAACATGTATGTTATTTACGGCTTGGATAGCCCTAAGAGCATCTTCTGCTCGATAGTATGTAACGTATGCACTCGCACTTGGACCCTGCAAATGAAAGAGCATCGTTAAAATACAAAAATGTAGTTTTTGGTTTATAATTCTTTTAGTTGTAAACAGTAATTGTATTACAAACAATACAAAATCACTGATTGTTATTCTACGAATAAGGATCAACCCTCATCTCAGGAAACTTGCTTAACAGTAATTAATACTTCAGTAGTTAAATGGATATTAGTCAAGTGAACCCACTTATCTTTCACTTACAATATTTTTAGTTTCACTATACAGCAACTGTTCAATATCTCAAAACAATAAATGTTAAGTCACTTCAAAGTATTATTTTGTATCCATTAAACTTAAACACACACAAGCAGCTATGGGCACAGTATGTGGTTAGAAAGAATTATATCTTATTCATATATATATATATATTTATTTATTTATTGACTATGATGACAAGATACAATGCCAAACCACAAGATCTCAGCCTTAAGTATTGTTTTTTTAAGCTTGTCCTTGGCTGTTTGAAATGTGTATCATTATCACAACTGTTCTCCTTTGGCATAATTACAATCAATAAGAGAAAACAAATAACACAAGAATAAAACAAAACAAATTATAATTCTTCAAGCATTAACAACGCAATTAGCCAATGATATACATGCGACTTCTGCCACAGAATTTTTACTCTTAAAAAAAAATATTTCATTCAAATCAAGCACACACAAAGAAAATTAAACAAGCTCCTAGTGTCAACAAAACTATTAATGTGTAAATCAAACAAACCTGTGAGCCTGCATATGAAGTGCTGTGATTGACAACAACTTTGTGTATCTTCCCAAACTTTCCAAAATAGTCATGTTTCTTTAGCACCTCTGCCTCTGCAAGTCTTGGAGGTAGACCTACAACAAACACTAGATTTTTCTGTACAACCCTGCCAGAAAAGATGATAATTATCATAATTAAGATCCAGGGTACTGTTATATTCCAAGCTCATTAAAATCATCTACACACAACTCTATTTAATTACACAGAGTACTTCCTTTGTTAAGTTAATTTTTTCACTTTTATGATCACAACACAACACAACACATAAATCTACAATACTCAGAAACTACAAATTTTTTTTAGAAAACTCCTTTTCTTAAAAAGCATTATCATACATTGATACTAATATTCAACTGTTAGTCATTATTCTATTCATACACAGACATATGAAAACAATTTCTTGATGAACATGATGTTATCAAATTGTTTCCTGTAATATTTGTCCAAAAACATCATGATGCTCCCAACATGTTTAAATATATGGTCTTCATTTGTTATGGTTCTAACTACTGACTTAATGTTTCTGTAATATTTTGTTCCAATATATACAAGCATAACTACAACATCAAATGTCAACATTAACTGTAAAAGAACAAAGGATAATCAAAAACAAAGTTTTATTGATTGAGAAAGAGAGAGAGATAGTGTGTGTGTGTGTGTGTGTGTGTGTGTGTGTGTGTGTGTGTGTGTGTGTGTGTGTGTGTGTGTGTGTGTGTGTGTGTGTGTGTATACACTAGTCCCTTAATTTTCAAATTTAGTTGGATAAAGTGTATTTACATAATGGCTACTACAATACTATACCTATGCTATACATGGAAGAATTTAGTTTATAATGATCATTATGAAAGAGTCAGTGCAACAGGAAACAGGCATAAGTACAAGATCAGTACTGTAGTCAAACCAGGCAATATTTCTGAAATCTAATCACAAATATGTAAAAATATCTTACACAAAAACTTCATTAAATGCTGTGCTTATAGTAGCAATAGATAGCTCAGTTTTTTATCTATTACAGTATAATACAACTATCAAAATATATTCTATGATACACAAAAATTAATAAAACTTTCTTCAAAATAACTGCACTCACATTTGTTATTTTTTGTTTTTTTAAAAATACTCTCCTCAAGACTTAAGTCACTGCATACCTTAAATTTGCCAAGTGTTTTCTGTTTTCTGATATTTTCTGCTTTCTTTGCAAATCCTTTTGTTTCTTTTCATTTTTTATTTTCTGCAATCTAAGAAAGTTTAAAAAAAAAATGTTTACAAAGGAAAATAGGTCCTACATGTACCAAACATAATGAATCACTTGTACACAAGTACAGAAACATAGTAGTTTGAATGCACCTAAAAGAGCAACTCCTAATACATCTTCAAGACTTCCATTTACTAGGATCAAACTACTGGCTGCAGAGTTGTATAGAAATAGGTGGCTGAACTTTTGACCATCCACATCAATAATGCAACCTAAAATTTGCGGGGGCATTTAACCACCTTGCTATATTGTTGGTGGATTCCACAAACCTTGCAACACCAAAGTAACCAGTTTCCATACATTAACATTTTCTTACACTGAAAATGTATTTGCTAAAGGTAGTTACCTCTTATCACACAAAGCTATCTCAGTTTTCTTTCTGCCCCAAAGCATTGCTAAAAAATTGTAACACTCATCACACCAGTCTGTATACTCCATAAATTTTGAACATGTATATAGCATGTGACCTCTCTCCACCAATAGTATTTCATCACTTATATTGGTACAGTTAGCTCCCTCTAATGTTCCTACTCAATCCTCACTTTCAAGGAGGATTGCAGGATCTGAAATGAATAATGCTAGCATGGGGAGAAAGGGTGGGAAGTGTGTTCAGAAATGCATTTTCAATGTAAGAAAATGTTAACTTTTGATACAATGTTACATCCTCTCACAAAGCTAAAAGCCCACATTGAAAAGGTGGAGGGGGGGGGCAGTGTAGGCACCCAACAGTGAAACCAAGGGGAAGTGACCTCCTAGAAATAACTGGTGTGCTCAGAAATGAAATCAAAGCACACATCTGAAGTACCACACTATTTCTAGAACGCTCTTCACCATATAAGAAGGAACTGAACCTGACATGGGAGGGAGACAATATCCACCTCAGAAAGATTCAACCAGATGGTGCAGATAATGATTGATGAAGGAATAGGGAGTAGTCCACATTCAGGCCTCAACGATTTCTTCCAACGGATGTTGAAGACAAGCAGTAAAGACATGGCGAAATGACAAATTTGAAAAGAAGAAACATTGAGGAGACAGTGACCTTCTATGTATATGTCTGAATATGTTAGCCTAAGGAGTTGACAAACCAACACGAGATAGATCACAGGAAACAGGAGGAGTCCATGGAATAAAAGATTGGGAATGTGAATCTTGAAAGGAGGCAGTAAATGTCACACAACACTATAGGGAGTGAGCCTGACATTGGGATGGAAGTACAGAGGGGAGATGGAAGGTAAAGAAATGGGTGTGAAAGCCAAATGGCCTTCCCAGGCAATAGAGGTCTTAAGGAGTAATTTACTTTAAATTCCATACTTCTCAGAAGGGTGGTTAAAAATTAGAGAAGTGAGGAAGACCTGGAGAACAAAATGTCAACTCTCATACTAGGGAAGATAAAAAAATATTTAAAATCCTCAAAGTTAAAAAGCTTAAAGTTGTATAATATTAAAACTTGATTTATGAACTACATTTTGATGCCAAGTCTATTCATATACAATGATAATAAAGTAGCTTAATTGCATTTTGAATGTAATTCTAAAAAGTCATGACATGTGTACTTTGACCTACCTGTAGTAAGAGGGTTAATGTGCAAGTCCTAAAAATAAATTCAATTTGATAAATGTATTCACTAGTTATTCTACAGTTACACTTTCCTACAAAGGTGCATTATATTATCTTTATTACTCTGGTTTTGCTTGTGCTAAAATTAAAAAAATAAAAAGTTTAATAAATTCATGGAAAGCTACAAAAGGAATATCTGCACCAGCCATCCACCATAATTTTAATGTACAGCTATTCAACAATACCTATACTAACTTTAGGACTATTCTTGTCTGACCAAATAGCAGGATTTAAGAATCACTCTTACAGTGCACTCAAAGCCCTAAAGTGTGAAGCACGTTTTTATGGCAATAGGCAAGAACCATGAACTCATATATTCACAGTTTGGCAGACTAATCACTAAGTTATGCTTGGCCTCTAATAAATCTGACAGTATTTTTTTTTGTAGCATGAACATTACATCTGTCGATACACATACACAAACCATTTAAATATTTCTTCAAATGTACTTTAAGATTAATTTTTCGTATGTGATATAACACATCTGAAGTTTAATACATTAAGCTGTATACTTTATCAACATGTTTGCAAGAAAAAAAAGAACTTACTCTTCTTGCGTTAGAGGTTTGAAGTCTGCGGGGTCTTCAGGGTATTGCTAGCAAATATTAGAGAATAAAGTTATTGCCAGAATTAATATATTAGTCCTACAAATATATTAACCGAGTTTCATCTAGAACAGTTTCTCAACTCTTGGGTCATGTGAATGTTGCATGAAAGGATGGCAAACAAACTGTGAAAATAGACAATGATTTATTTATTAGCAAGTCAGATGTTTTTTGGAATAAAGCTTCTTAGTAGGTTGTGACTGGCCACCAATGTTAACAAATGGATCATGTGGAATAAAGCTCCCTAGTAGACTGTGACTGTCCACCAATGTTAACAAATGGATCATGTGGAATAAAGCTCCTTAGTAGGCTGACTGGCCATCAATGTTAACAAATGGATCATGTGGAATACAAAAAAAATGAAGTTGAAAACCACTGATTCAAAACAGTATTTTTGCTGTATCACCAAATTTAGTAAATTTTTAGTATTAACAATATTAAAATACAAAATGCTAAAAAAAAAAATCCTTTGAAAAAAGTGGGATAGAACTATGAAAAAACAAACACACATATGGTAACAAGTTATTTGTACATTCATTGACACTGATTACGTAACTGTATTTGAAGATGATAACCCTACTTCAAACTCTACTAAATATGAAACTTTAATGAAACAAGGTAACTACATAAAGTAAATTAGAACCTGCTCTGGCATTGCAATTTTATTAATCATAATACCTACCTTGCGACATGCTGGACATAACCCATTTTCATCTGTTCTAATTCGGTGCCAGCAAAATCGACATATCTGGGGGAAAAAGAAATCAGCTAACTAAGCAAAACAACAATCTTTATGGTTTAACTCTGGAAATAACAAAAAAGTGATGACTTGCATTGGGAGTCTTCCTAACATGAAAAAAAAGCAAATACTTAAGCCTAAGTCTCTGAATCTGGCTTCCTAAATAAAAAAAAGTTAAACAGTGTGGCTGTATTCTTTCTAAACAAATTGTTCACACTTTCTAGGTGAAATTACAGATGTTTACAACAATTTGCACACATTTATTAAACCTTTGCTCATACTTCTACCTATTTAATACCACTTGAGCTAGTCTTCGCTATAAAAACTGCAGACTATGTTACTAAAGAAAACGACATTCACACAAGATCACTGCCAATTTTAACATGTTCTTACCTGATACCCACAAGTGCAAGGAAAAAAGTTTATATCATCCAACTCCAAAGGTTCCATACACAAGGGACACTACAACAGAAGAAAAATGCTGTATTTTAATATTTTTACTTTACAAACTAACATATCATACTAATAAAACATTATAAATACTAGATACGTTTACTTTCTAATGCAAAACAAAAAGTAATTTTTTTCTACTCAACCTATCCAATAAATAACAGTGTGACAAGTTAAAACTAGATAAACTTTATAAATACACATGGTACAAAGTTTGTTAAGTACAAATGCTTTAAGTGTTTGTATACTTAAAAATAAAATACAAAAGTATGTAATTTAAACACTTTTCCCATGACACAAATGGCAAAACTCAAGTGCCATACAATATTTACAAGATCATATTACAGATGTATGTTCATAATCAACGTATGATGTAAGCACTATTATATAATATATTATCACACATGCTGGCTGCTAAAACTGCAAGTAACCAACTAAGATTAATTAAAAATAAACACCAATACTGACATGAATCTTCAATATGGTTTTGTCATTCAAAATCTACTTGGAAAAACTTCCCCAAAGAACTGCTTGAAATTCTATTTTGAATAAATATTAGGTCGTCAAGAAATTAATGTCACTTTTTTTTTTTACATGAAAAAACCTAAAAATATATATCAAACCAAAACATTTATTAAATGAAGTAGTCTCCATTCTTGTCAATGATGCTTTTCCATCTTACAATAAGGTTGTTAATGCCCTGATTAAAGAAATCACTTGGTTTTGAAGTAAAAAAAAAAAATGTCGATGTCCGCTTTAATTCCTTCCACATTTCCATATGTTTTCCCATTAAGATGGTGTTGCAGTGAACGAAAAAGATGGTAATCTGATGGTACCATGCCTGGAGAATATGGTGGGTGGGGGAG